TACGTATAGGGTGTGTATGTATGTACAATAATTATACGCAATGCCAGTCCAATATATTTTACTCGCTGTTTCACCATTTCACCCGATCGTAGCGTGATCTAGCTTTTGTTATATACGAAACAAAACAAAAGAACACAAAATATGTGGATGAAAGCGGTATGAATAATACTACACGATATACTATATATACTTATAGATAACGATATTTACGCAATATTCATTATAAAAGCGGCAGAGCAGTTTCGGTGAAGTGACCACAAACACCGTGACACATAATTTCATAGATAGTATTACAGCATAGTCGAAAACCTATATTAGATATAGAATTTATGAAGTCCCGTGAGCCCTCAGAGATATAGGAGACACCTTTATAAGAAAGTGTTAAAGTTTCCTCTTGATTGTACTTCGACGATAACAAGCGGTACTGCGCACATTCTGCACCAGCCGTGCGAAGGTATTTAAAAAGTATTTGCCCGTATAGAAAATTTCCAAACACCCCATTAGGTAGATCATAGAATCTTTTATTGTTTGTGCATACAAAAACGTTAAAATAATCACCTCGTTAACACATTACATTACGGTGACATAATGAGCTGACTCATTGAATGCCTGACGGTAACTGATCTACATATTAATTTAGTATTAAATATATTTTCAAAGTAGTTTCTTCTATGTTATGTCTTATTAAAGTTAGACGTTAGACTTTAGTCTTAATTGTATATTATAATTCATTTTTCATCAAAAGACAATTCAAAAGAATGATATGTAGCGACATCTTTAGTAATCTTCATAATATTATTGCACCCGTGCGAAGATAGGGGTCGCTAGTTTGAAAGTAAGTCGTATTATTTAAATGCTGCGCAATACTTTTAAAACGACTTGAAAAACCCCGAATTGCATTCTTATTGTATTTTTTTATTAGAGCTTTGATACTGTTGCCAAACATGAAATTCGAGTAATACGTGCGTGTAATAATAAAAATATCTTGCTTATACTCTTTAGAGTTTTGTCATTGCTTAGATAAAATTATTCATATTGTCTGCCGGTCATATTGTTTGACGGTCATTCTAAAAGCTCTGTAGGCTGCTGAATCAATCCCTTTCATCTGTTTTGTTCTTTGTGATGGTTTGTTATTAGTAACTGCCTACCTTTAAGTAGCAATATATATGAATAAATTATACTTATAGTGTGTATTTCGTTGGCGACTCTATAAAGTAAATTATTCACGTACCCAAGAAATGTCGTTTAAAGTGTTGGAGTATTTTGCGCCATTTTGAACGCAGCTCAACTCAGCTTCGCTCTGATAAATTTTAAATTATTCCTCCAGATATATTGAAATATTAAAGCGAAATCCACTTTTGCAATGATTAAGAAATAATTTCAAATAAAAACTGCATATAATGCAACAGATGAACGTAGAGCGAACCGGAACTCTGATTGCCTGAAACATTTTTGTTGCATTGGTATTTTAGGTTGTTATTTTGATTGTAAATTCTACTTACAAGCCCTAATAACCTGTATTAAAAAAAATATTATGTATTGTTTAAATTTACTTAATACGATGTATATATAACATCAGTCAGAAAATTTACTCTTCTGTTATTATTGTGTGTTAATAATAGTTAAAGCATATTAGAATGAGCTTAGTAGACTAAAATTGAGATAGCTGATGGCGACGCGTATCTCGTACGTATATTATATTAAGTTTCTCATGTAAATTAAAATACATTTTCATTAATGAGAAATAAAGTTCTTTAAATATTAAAGCTAATAATAGTGGATAAATAAATAATTAGTATACAAAATTTAAAAAGTTGGCAGTGCTCCTTACAAACGTTGTGTAAAAAAAACATGGCGATTAAAGAGTGGCGGAGAGTTTATTGCCAGTTCTTCTCTTCCGTTCTACGCCCTTGATTTGAAAACTGGCACTAAATGTAAAATAAGAAGCATTAATATGTATTTCTTACTGACGAGTGACGAGTCATAAGTGTACAATGTGTTACCTATATGATTAAATGATTTTTGAATTTTGAAGTGTAATTTTAATGCTGGCAGCATTTCCTTGTATTGCGATACTTATTCGTTGAGGAAAAACGAGCCACCTAGGGTCACCGCTACTATCTACCAGGCGCCAACTTAAATCTTATTGAACGCCACTCAAAAGTTTCAAAAGTTTACAACAAAATATAGTTTTTTCTCCAAAGTGAACAAAATCAAACTCTCTTACTTATATTTCGATATTCAACAAAAAAACTACATTTTCGTGAATATCTGAATCTGATAGACCTGTTACATTTTATATTAAATATTAAAATTTCATAAAGCACATACTAATATTTAATTTTTAATATACCTACTTGAGTATAATTGTTATAAGAATAAAAATAAATAAATAATCGAATAATGAAGTTGAATTATTATAATTTGTAATTACTGCGCATTAGACACATTACATGTGATTAGAATTTTAATGGGTATGATCGCCTAACAATAGACCCAGAATTTTTTACACAAGTACGTACACTTCGCACTTTAATTATATTAGTTATTAAAATAAAAACATATTATTATTTACCATATTTAATTAACTCCAAGATTAACAAACAGTCTCTGTCTTCTAGTTATTCATTTTAAAAAATACTTTTAAATTTAACCGAATTTAAAATAGAAAAGAATAACAGAATTATTAAATTGATTTTAGCATTACTAACATAACTAAGTCAATGAAGTATATATTTATTTAATACTCCTACCGTTAACTTAAAGAGTCAAATTTTTACGAAACTTCGAATGGAAAAATCAATAAAAATAGATTAAATGCATTAAATACTTAACACCTATTCGGGTGTGTTGTGCGATGGTGTGTTTGTCAGGGTATGTACGCAAGGGGATACTTTATTTATATATAAAGACTTGCTGACTTGGCAAACGTCGTTTTGCCATGTATATCATTTATAATAAAAAATAGGGGTTGTATGTATTTTTTAATGCTGTATCATAAATAATTATTTATCTAAATATTAAAAATAAAATATTTAGAATGGACTACCCTTAACATTTAGAGGACAAATAGATGTGGTCCGATTCTCAGACATACCCAATATGCACACAAAATTTCATGAGAATCGGTCAAGCCGTTTCGGAGGAGTTTAACTACAAACACCGCGACTCGAGAATTTTATATATTAGATATCAAAACGTGAGTCCATCAGTCCTCTATGAGATATTACACAAAAATAAAACAAAGGACAAAATTACACGTATTGTATGAAGTCAGTAAAAATCTTTTTCAGTTCATTTATTAAGGCCGTATACTAACTACATTGACGTGAGTAAAACTAGCTGGCTTTATAGTAAATTTTACAAATATTTTACCTGCGTTGTTGATATATCGTTTTTATATTGAAATATATAATTTATAATAATAAGCTATAATTAAACAATTAAGTAAATATCTACGGTATGCGTGAGCAAATGCAAGACTTTTTATAATATAATATCATTTGTTGTGTGAATTTATCGTTTTCAATTCAATTTGTTGACAGGATTTGTCAAGAAAAAAACATTTTTTATATGTTCCTACGAACTTTACAGCCCAGCTAATAGTAAGCAGTTTAGTTTTTAAACCGGTTCGACTACAGTTCATAAACTCTAGCGTTTCTGATGATATGTACAAGACATAGTTTAAAAATATAAAAAAAATGTTTATATGTACATGTATTTGCGATGCTAAAGATTATCTATGTTTCGACGGTACAAAATGAAATCAGTCATTTGAATTGATATATTTTTAGAATATAATGGAAGCCACTATTAAACAACCTTTAATAAAAGTTTCATTATTCTCCTACGAGGAAATAATAATAAAAATCTACCGTATCGAGGTTTTCACCTATGTAGTTATCTCTAAAACCTCACTTGATTTAAATAACGCATTTATAATACCAAGTTAGCATTAGACTTTTTGTTCCTATTAAGCTATAAATTTCTTTTTTGTCAAAAACCAACCAAAAAGTCAATGTCGAAACGTAACTAGCTTGAACTAATCGGTTCCCAGAAATGTTAGCACTAAATTGCCTCGACTTTTGGTTTAATGAAGAAATAATTATAAAATCATTTCAAGCTATAACTATTAAAGAAACAAATTGTTGCAGACGTGATGTTATTTGGAAACGATTGTTTATGCAATCGAAACAAACAGGTGGATCTGATTTACTTTAATTTATTTATTATTGCAATGGATTAGATATCGTTTATTTTGGCACGGACAGGCTAGTTTCTCGGAATGTTGCGTTTTATAAGATACATTATCTAGGTCGTAAATTTAATAAATAAATTATTGTTTCTTATATTTCCTTTATCTATACTAATATTATTAAGAGGAAAGATTTGATTTTTTGTTTGTTTGAAATGAATAGGCTCCGAAACTACTGGACCGATTTCAAAAATTCTTTCATCGTTGGCAAGCTACACTATTCCCGAGTGACAGAGGCTATGTTTCATTTTCAAAAAAATTAGGGATGCTTACCTACTAAAACTTCCATAATCTAACCCAAGGTGTAAACATTAAACAAAAAACTTCCTTCAATCGCGTGCACTGCGTAAACTATTAATGATAGAACAAAATGATGTATTAAAATTTTTCAGAACACATCACTATCTATGAAAAATGTCACAACAGCAAGTCTCTATCTTTTATAGTTACGTCACAATAAGCGTCCTTTTATTTTTTTATTTTTTTTTTAAATACCACCGCTAGAAAAGGCTCTTTTTTGTACCTAGGTATTAATCCTTATCAAAATAAATAGCAACGTTTCACATAAGCTACATTTTAATGGCATAACCACCAAAAAAGCATGGTGGATTGGTGTTCTCCTGCCGTTTCTCTTGAATAGTTTACTACTAATATAGCAAAAATCTTAGCCACAGCAACGCTTGGCCGAGTCTACTAGTTAACTATAAGCGACATCGCGACCAACAAAATGATGTTATCGTCTTATCTATAGCAATGTTTGTAAACAAGTTATGATATAAGTCATACCTCTTGCCCATCCGGTGAGTACGTTGCCGAGGTAGGCGACCTTGTACACCGGGTCAGGCTCGCTGATACGGACACTGTTGGTGCGGCGCAAAAGCCTCCCAAGACCTCGTGACAGCTTCCCAATCGCGCGGCTCGTGAAGTCCTTCCCAACAGGTACATCCCCCAAACATACTTCAGCGGGCAATATACTCTTCACGTGCTCTTTGTGGCTGATTAGGCGCGGAATTGTCAGCGGAATCCGTTTACGCTCCGGCGTCAGAGTCTTGGCTTGATTAACGCTGTAAACGTTGCAGTTCCGCCGATAATGGCTCTCTTTGGTACCATGCTCAGTCTTTTCTGGTTCACATCTACCGTTCAAATTCTCTTTCGAAGAATTATTGTTTAGATTATCGGGATTGCCATCGCTGTGCCTGCGCTCGTTCGAACGACGTTTAATTAAAGAGGAATTTCTAAGAAGTATACTAGTTTCGCTAGAACTTCTGTTCTTAAGTATGTGAACCTTTTTTACCCTTGTTACAGTACTGTCCACTTCATCAGCGCTCACAGTTCTTTCAGTTTTCCCCTCTTCATCAAGAAAGCGAACTCTTAAACCATTCGTTTTTACATCCGGTTTTTCAATATCCTGTCGTTCCTGACCGTTAGAGTCCAAGCAATGACGTTCGTTTTCACTAAGTCTACCGCGGGCCATTTTTCTAATTAGATTTTTTCAATCTCACATTATGAATGGGTCGATAGGGTTAGCCATGGGAACTTTCTAAGCACTAGTCAACAGCAACACTAAACCAGTCGCTAAACACACACAGTAGTAGTTACACTCGTCCATTAAAGAACACCGGTTTGGAATGCGGTTCCAACACTGAATGCACTGAGAGAAAACCGTCACAAAAACTATTGCAAATTGTAATTCCAATAGACACACGATTACGAGATTGTGGCGGCCGGTGATTACAACACTTGTAAGAGGTTGTTTCGAAACTTTTTTTACCGCGAGCGACGCGTGCTCTTTCCGCGACACGTTGTAGAGGAATGAAGTGGCGGTGCGCGGCGTATGCGCCGGGCTGAGGCAATCGCTCACTTGATCCCTCGATCGTGCCTGAATCAAGTTATGTGCGCTTATCCACTTACACGGTACACACTCGCCACCTGTAACAAATAACAATGTTTAACAAACTACCTGCAAAGCTTAGACTGTCACAAAAGCTATTATGCATTATTTATTTTTATGATGATTAGATAATCTTGGTGATTTTACGTCATCATAAATGTCTGTATGGTTAATATGCTTGAAGTTTAAAATAATGGTTAAATATGGTATTAGAACACAGTCAATTACTGTATACTAATGTCATTTTGTATTAACATTATTATAGTAATTAGCACCGTAGGACTACTGCGAATATAATTATTTAAATTAAGTAGAACAACGTGTGAAATTTTAATATTTGTTGAAAAATTAACGTGTTGAGAACAAGTGTGGTTTTAAAACTGGTTTTATGATTGAATATTTTTTAATTAACTGTTTTAGTGAACAACCTGTTAAACAAGTTTTCACTTATAAACTGACAGAAATATAACAATATTGATTTTATTAGCTAACAAAATATAAATCTAAATTACTAAAATTCAAGTAAACAATACTAGGTGTCGTAAATTCCAAGACATCATTAAAATTATATTGTACGAAAGACACATTTAATATGTTCCTTAATAGTGTAGAAATGTCCGAATACACTAAGTATATGCCGTGGTTTCAAATGCAAAAGAACATGCGCTCGTCATAAATTTGTTCTTAGGAGTGAGATTGTAAAACAAAAGAGTAACTCACTTAGTTTGATCTGTAATAGCATCTTTACTTTTAAATCACAACCCGTCCTTTCGATTCAACAAAACGCGTAATTATTTTTAATCAAATATGTTAGTTATGTGCCAACATTTTCATGCGCACATTTTGACTTAACCTATTTGTAAAAATCAACGAACAAATTGTACAATCATCAATAATTGTTTGTAATTAATAATTGTCACGTACAATACTCGTGTATTTAGATTTCTAGGTTGGATAATTAGCATGTTCGGCATTGTTTTCGCTAAAGTGTGCAGCTAATTTTAAATAATTGCAACAATTATTATCAGTGAAACATCGCCTCATTTGAGGGGCATAGTAAAAAAAATAAGTTCACGAGTAATATTCCAATCTTGATATAAAATTTAATTTGATACAATCTCTTATAACAATTTTAAATAGTAAAATGTTAAATTAAAATTAAATATTTTTGTCTCATTTCTTATAGCCTATCTATGTTTGGGTGTAGAAGAAATTCTTCTCAGCAGTAAATTGTCGTGATTTATTTAAATAATCATTAAGCTAGTTAACATTTTTTGCGTATACAGTAATAGGAAATCGTTTTATTTCATACTAGATTAGTTTTTGGACATGAGTAGGTCATTATTTAATCAATTATAACTTTTATTAGCAAACTACAATATAGCAACTAACTAACTACAATACAAAGAGAATAGGAGGCACAACTTGGACAAGATGAGCTAACATTAGAAAGAATAGAAGCAGCTGGAGAGGAAGACAGCAGCAGAATGGAAGAGGCCTGTGTCACAGGACACGCTGATCACCAAAACCGGCACATCTGTATTAGATTAAGTTAGGTTTTTTAACTAAAACCAATGTTTATATATATTACACTAGGTGTGCAATAAAGGCTTTATAATAATAATATAATCAGCACTTTAAATGTTTAATTTATTTATTAATGTCGTGATTATATCCATTGTAGATGTTTTAATTAATTTTTAATTACTCTGCCAAAGGGAATTATTTTTAGTAAATAATTTGTTTTTTAGATAAATTCTAATTTACAAAAATCATAATGTCTATTATTGATGTAGGTAGTAGGTACTGCCAATTCTTCTTAGTACGACGAGATAAGTTCTTTAAAAAATCTCTTTTTCTTTACAAGACGCTTGTACTCGTAACTATAACATGCAAGTATTCATTAATATTTTCAAATTGAATGAATGTAGTAAAAAATAAATAAAGTGAAATCTTTCACACACGCGGAACTATAACCGAAATGAAATAACCACAAAAAGACTGAAACTAAGGAAGTGATTGTAATCTCTTAGATTAAATTGTGTGACGGCAAGGAAACATTCACGTTATCAATTGCGATGGAATTGAGCACACTCCGCATTTAGGTTAATTCGAATAAATCCTTTGATCTTAAAGTGATAACACAAAAACACAAATGTAACTTCTATCCGACGGAAGGACTATTAATGTCTAACAAGCTAACCCGTTTTTTTATATTCTCTTTTTAAATTAAATTTTTATTTTATTTGTTAAAATTTATATTTTGTTCAGTGTATATAGCTGTTACTCCAAGATAGTATGGGTCCACTGAAAATCAGTGTTGCTGCTGACAGCAACTTAAAGCTGAGTTGGGCCCATGTTTATTAAAGTAATTGTGTTTGTATTTCTTTTATATATATAAGTATGTGTGCTTTAATCAAATAAACGTTTTTACTTTCTTTCAATTTAAATAAGGATGTTTGCCAGATACATTTTAGCGTTACTGTCCTTTAGCGTACCCCGGTGATATAAATATAGCTCAGCTGATAGCAACGACTCTATTTCCGTATCATATTAATTTATTTAAAATATCTCTTTAGCCCAAAGTATTTCTGTTGGTTTAAAAATAAGTTAATCTGTGGCGCTACACACGCCGTCGACTTTTTGAGTCTAAGACATGTCGGTTCCCTCACGATGTTTTCCTTCACCTTTCGAGCAAATGTTAAATGCGCACATAGAAAGATAGTCCATTGGTGCACAGCCGGGGATCGAACCTACGACCTCAGGTATGAGAGTCGCACGCTGAAGCCAATAGGCCAACACTGCTCTTTCAGTTGGTTTAAATGTTGAATATTTTCGAAAATAAACAAAACAATACCAATAATGATTAATCTCTTGAGGAGTAATTGTAAGTTCCCTCACGTTTTTTAGCCTCGAGTGGTCTCAATAGAGATGATATGTGGGGATGGCTAATATGATTGGGACTGATTGACGCACCGGGCCACGGGGGCTTATATACAGTTAGGATCTATCAACATATTTATGTCCCTAGATGATTTATTACGTATTGTATTTTTTTATATCTATTTTTTTATATTTTGTTTTGATTATGTTTAAAATAAAAATAAACTTTTTTTTATAAGTATTGTCTAGTATATTAAAGGAAACATGGATAGTGAGGCTGGGTCCAGGATCTTGACGTACATACCTGGACCAAGTGCAAGACGTACTAGAGAGGGAAAAATGTACCCATAAACGATAAGCATGCATTGTCATAAAAGTGGATGAAACGGGAGAGGTATGACAGAACCGTAGCAAGTAGCAAGAAACCAACATCTACGACGTGTTATATCATATCATTGTGTCACTGAGGTGATCCAAAACCCTTGTATAAAAAGTTTTATAAATCTGGTATATACATATCATTCTTTTATATTATTTATCTATCTAAAGTAAGTAAAATAAGAAATAATATGTAAAAAGTGTGAGTCACGGTGCAGTGTAGGTACTTATGTTGTCAGTCCTGCGAAACCGCTCTGCCGATATTATGATTTTTAAATATATTTAATATGTAGATATTAATAGGAAAAATCTTGTATTTTTATTAGTTATTTAATTTTACGCTATATCTCTTTTGAGTGTGATTATTAGAAATATTAATATATTTTTCAATTGCACAATAATAAATAATTGCATCTTTTAATTTTACGTTCGCTGCTTGCTACATAAAAACATCACATGTGACTTAATAATTCTATTATATAATTGATGATCACATATGAGTCATGCATTGCAGTGCAAGGTACTTTATATTCAATGAAATGAATCTTTCTGAGAATAACACTTGTGAATTTGTCGGTCTGTCGCAATCGGAAGAAACACCTGCGCACAATACACAAAGTAAATTGAATCTTTAGATACATAAAACATGCTTTTATTGCAATTTCTATTTGCGCCTTCTGATAAATGATTTTGTATCAAATCAAAATGGCGTTATTAAAATACCAGTAACCATGGTAACCATTTTTAAGCCGAAAACCGTAACCATGGTAACTAACTTGCGGAAATCGTTTGGCGAAGCTTGGTCTAAATATTTAAATTTAAATAATAAACCGTGCTAATCTAAAACATTTATTTTAATTTCAGTTCATATGTATTATGAACTTAATACATTGAAGTAAATTGTAGTAATAACTAATAAGTACTACTATACTATTGAAAATCGTAATAAAACTCTGCGGCTAAGCTAAATTTTCTATATATAACTGATTCTTAACAACATGACGTATTGTTATTTATATAACACTTTACTAGTATAAAATTATTTTTATAAGATCTAATCAAGCGTAAAGCAAGTATTTCATGCCAATTAGCGTTGATGAGTTATCTCGCTCTATCACAGATAGCGACTAAGTAATTAAGGATTTTAATGAGAAGCCCGTTACTTGCATCGTGCAACTTGCAAGGTCAGTGGAGCTTTCAAGTTTCTCTTCTTTCAATATAAAATTTTCCAAATTCGAAAAATACAGTGCAAAATAAAATGTGTTGTACTGAGGTTTTGCCTTATCTGAAAGAACAATGACGTCCTATTTACCGGTATACAG